TTCAGAGGGTTAATACAGAAATGATAGTGTAAGTATTTACATAAACTGGTAGATTGCGGTTTCTTGATTTTTTTTTTTTAAGAAAAAATTTTACTTCTGTCTGCCCCACCTGCTCACTGGGTACAGCCATTGTGCTTTCAGCCCCTCGAGCTGCATTCAGCAGAGGTGGCTCCATGCTGCAGGCCTGGTGTGCTGGCCTGATCCTGCTGGCAGACCAAGGACCAGCCAGACTTAGCAATGACATCTTCCTTTGTCTGCTGCAGCTGCACACCCACAGGCATTGCCATCGAGTCTCTGGCCTTGCTTCTCTCCCCAAGTGCTCTGCTCCACCATCTTGTCTATAAAGTGTCACGAGATCACTTTATAAAAGCATCTTCCAATAAGACTTGCCTTATCTAGTTGTTCCAAAGATAATACATGCTCTGCAGACTCATCCTCTGCTGCATCTCCCCCCAGAATCTCCAGCCCTTTCTTTTTTAAGTTAACAAGTTTTATACATAAATTTTTAATGGTAACTTCAGTGAGCTTTGATAGAGGTGTTCAACAGCTCAGTGAAGATATCAGCTGATCTCATTGTTTCACGAAGTTTCCTCAGTCCAGAATGTGATTCCTGGGAGAATGCTTGGGTATCAACTACTGTCACCTAACTTGGATTTAAAAGTAGATGAAACTGTTAGAGATAAGTACCATCAGAGGCTCTAAGTAAATAGCTGATAGAAAAACTGATGGGGAGCCCAGTGATAAAAAGTAAAAAAAGCAAGGGTAAGACCTCAGAAGCCTTATTTGGTAAAATTCCCTCTTTCTTTCATTGTTCCCTATAACACTGGTTTCTAGGTTAATTCTGTCTTTGAGGTTTATATTAACACACAAGTAAGACTATAAGTCTTTCTCTGTACCAGGCACCTCACTAAATATCTTCTAGTATTTTGTAATTATTACTCCCATTTTGTGGATAGGAAAATTAAGGCTCAGAAAGTTCACACTGCTTTTAAACCCAAATCTAATATCTGTGACCAAATTATCAACTTCGATAATATTCTCTGAATTGTATTAAGAGTAGGCTAACTTTGTGCTTTGTTTTTGAAGGCAATAAATTATGTATTGCTTTTTCTAAATATATCATTCTTTGGCAGTGGATAATTTCAAATCCAGTTAATAATAAATTTGGCTTACTATACCAAGTAAGCAGTGGTTGCATGTAGAGGAAAATGTAGTAATCAAAAGGACTTTAGAATTGAAAAAGAAGTAATATTTTCAACTAAAAATTATGAGTTTAATTTCTGATTTCCTGACCTTTTAGAAAAAAATCTATACCCTAGATTATATCATTTTTCTGCATTTAACGTTTTTGCATAATAGACTTTTCACATCACTGCTAAATCTCTTTAATCAAGTGTTTGTTGATTACATTAATACAATTTTAATATTTTATTATTTTATTTTATATGTTTGCGTGTTTTGTGTATATGAATCTCTTGATACTATGTGCAGCCTGATGCTCTAGGAGGTGTTAAAGAGAGTTGTGGGTGTTGGAAATCTATCCACTTTCTCTGGCTGAGCAACAAGTGTTCTTAACCACTGAGCCATCTCTCTAGCCTCCCTCTTCACAGGACTTTTTAGAAGATCAAATGAAATAAATAATATGTATAGACATAAAATTTAAGGTATGAAGCAAACCCTTACTGATCATTGTATAATTAATTATAGTGTATTTGATTAATTCTTGAAGAAGCATTACAAAAATGGTCAGATAGCTTGTGAGCAAATTATTTTGTGAAGGAAAAGGTGGTTAAGTTTTATCATAAAGGTGATGTTGAAGAAAAACAAATTAGCTCTGCCTCTATGCACATTCCTTTCCAGTCATGTCCAGTTTTATCTGGTACCAGTGTCCCTCACACAGTGAGCTTCAGGCAATTGACCAAGGGGGAGTTGAGGTCATGAACCAGCTCCTGTTAACATACGACCTCCAGAGTGAAGCCTTGTTACAGGTAGATTGATGGTCTGAAAGATGTGGCTAGCCTATGTATGCTCATGAGCAACTGCATGCAGGCCATGATTCCTAGATCAGAGGCTCCATGCATAACTGACACCAGCTAGAAGCCCTCTCCAACTTCAAGGCCATGGTCAGCTATGGTGTAAACCTGTTGGAGAGTGGAAACATGATGCAGCTGACAGGGAAGGACATGTCTTGGAGTGGCTGGACACGTCATCAAATGGAGAAGCAACAGCTGAACTTGCATAATGGTAGCTAAGAAGATATGCTGGTGCCTCCTTGGGCTGCAGATGTTCACCAACAAATGTGCCAACCAACCAAGTATGGTGGCCTGTAGTACCAAGTGATATTTCTACAGCCACAAGAACCACTTCACTGCTGTGGATTGACTGCGCCACCATCCTTTAGATGGGGACCAGCAAGTACTCTAGCCAGGTATACGGTATGACAGCTCAGGGATCCAGAGACATAATTGCAGCACACACAAGTATGACAACTCTTTTCCTAAAGAAGGGCTATATGCAGGGTACTGACTGGAATGGCCATGTCTGGAGAGGCAGATGCAGGACCCTCTGTATTGCCTGCAGAACTTCATATAGGGGCAGTTGCCCAGGCTAGATCCTGGAGCATCCCCACCACTGCCAGGAGGAGGCTGGCTACTGTGAACTATTTCTTATTCCCTTTAAGAATGAGAACTGTGGTTTTTACATTGACAGTCATGGTGCCCAGCCTCAGGCCCTGAGAATGATCCACCTTTTATGGGATGAATCCCATGAATGGAAGCCAAGTACCTGCATGGACCCATTGAATACAGTACATCTGATGTTCTGTCCTCAGGTGCATTGTTAGTGCTTTCCAGGGCTCTGGATCTCTCTTAGTTTGGTTGAGGATCCATTTTCTGTATTCTGAGCTGGTTTAGAAGGATCCTACTTCATCTGGTATCATTATTGTCTGCTTTCAAAGTATTTGGTTTACAGTATCTAGTTTGGTTGCTTTATAAGTAAGCATTTTAATCTAGATACTTGGTTTCATTTGCTTGCTTGCTTTTGGATCTCTAAAGACATTTTGGATTCTGGCTTTTTGGCTTGTTTTCAGTATTTTGTTCAACTTTGGAATTTTGAAAGCGTTTTTGTTTTGTCCTGCTTTTTCTTGTCTTTGAAATATTTTGATTTCTTATCACTTGTCCTTTGTCTCCTGACATTTCTTCTTAAATGACAATTCTGCATTTTCCTGCTGCTTCTCCCATGACCTTGTCAGGCCTTTAGCTTTGGAATTTTATGAGGGCCTGCTGATAAAGGTATCAGGCCAAAGGGCTGGCAAAGTCACAAGAAAAGATAAGAGTCTAGTCTATAAATTAAACTACAACTTCACAAACTCTTCCTATCCAAATTATACAAAAGACATAAATGACTAATAATAATATTAATGTTTTTGCTTTAAGATTGATGTTTCTTGATTTAATTATCTAAAATGTTCCATAGTACAGTTTGCTGAGATTAAAAATTAATTAAATAATATTTTAGTTATATAAAGGAGAGAATACTACAGTAACTACTTTTTAAAGTATCATTTCTAACTATTTAAGTAAGACAGTTCATCAAATGCAAATAACTGTAAATAGAGGGGACTATATAGTCAATACAGTAAATTTTGTTTATTGTAGACATTTGTTTCATCTGTAATCTTCACTTCATCAGGCCAAACTGTGTTCACTCTTATTTAATTTTAGACACAATAACCTATGTTACATGTAAATATTATGTCAAATAGAGAAGGTGAAAAAATTCAGACCTGGATCATAATGGCTAGTAAGTTTGATATGATCCAGTAGTTTTCCTCTTAATGGCCTTTACCAGCTGTATCTCTCTCCTGAAGACTGCTTTGCTGCATACTACTCAGGCTTATCTGCATTTGATCATAGGAATAAGATTCCTAGCTAGAGGGACCTTATAATAGTTAATAAACAATGCATGGCTCCCGAATGCACAAAATGTGATGTTTGGCCAACAAGGTGAACTCTGAATGAAAACTTTCGAAAAGAAGTTGCATCTGGCTGTGAACAAAAACTTCGGAAGGAGTCTGTCTGCAGAGACTGTCTGATTACAATTTCAGTACTGTGGAGATAGTGCAATGTTTAGTTCTGGAGGGTTAATTATGTTGGACTAAGTTCTGGCCTTCTGGAACAGTCATTCCTTGCCAACCTCTGTATTGGAACTAATATCTTGTGACAATAGGTTAAAAAAAATCTCTCACACACACAGTTTGTTGCTACTTGAAGATATAAGGCTAAATTAGAATTTGTAAATTGTTTCTTCAATTGAAGTGACTTTTACAACTTAAAATGGTATAAATGTACTGCTCATTTTGCTAACTTGTATCTACCTCTTACCTGGTTGGCTAAGCTAGCTATAGTTTGGGTAATTTTTGTTTTGTCAGAGCTTTAAACCATTGGTAAAATTTTTGAAACATTGTAAGCAGATACCAAAGTAAGTGTATTCTTATTGACTATGAACTTGAAGATGATGCTTAGAGTTAAGGGCATCCTCCAATGACCCTGTCCTTTTTATTATGCTTGTGCTACTTACATCTTCACACACACATGTACATACATTTGAGTAAAAATACATTTTAGTAATTTTAAACTTCCTCAAAAAGAGGTCAGATTGCTGCTACCTTCCTTATTCTCTTAAACAGTATTGAAGTATAGAAAATTATATCCAAAATACCTGAGTGCTATATTAAATTGAAACTAAGGACTGCCTCCTCTGTCCTTTCCTGTTTCTACAGGGCCCAAATCAGTGTTGGCTCACCACAAATACTCACATGGGTTAATGATTAAGAGAGAGTGTACGAATAAATGAATGATTTAAAAATAATTCAAAGAGATTATGAGGTTGGCATGATAAGTAGTCTGTCTACTGCTCTGTTCAATATGCTGTTTACGTACTACACTTGTTTAAAATAATGTTACTTACAAACTCTCTCCTAGGGTTTCTGTTGCTATGATGAAACACCATGACCAAAAAGTAAGTTGGGGAGAAAAGGGTTTATTTGACTTATTTTTCCATGTCGCTGTTCATCATTGAAGGAAGTCAGGACAGGAATTCAGACAGGGGAGGAACCTGGAGAAAGGAGCTGATGGAGAGGCCAATGACAGAGTGCTAGTTTCTTCCCTGTGGCTTGCTCAGCCTGTTTCTGTTGTTGTTTGTTTTTGCTATTTTTGGGGGACATGCCACTCAGCTCCCAAATAAATCACACACAGAAGCTTATTATTACTTATAAATGCCTGACCATACCTTGGCATTTCCTTAACTTTAAATTAGTCACATCTATCTTTTGCCTCTGGGCTTTTCCCATTCTCTTACTTCTGTAAATCTCACTCTTTCTCCATGGCTTGCTGTGTAACTGGGTTGCTGGCCCCTGGAGTCCTCCTGCTTCTCTGGCTACTCCCTTTCTCTCATTTCTTTCCCCAGATTTCTTCATCTATTTATTCTCTCTGCCTGCCAGCCCTGCCTATCCTTTCTCCTGCCGTGGTATTGGCCATTCATTTCTTTATTAGACCCTCAGGTGTTTTAGGCACAGGAAGACAGCTTCACAGAGTTAAACAAATACAACATAAACAAAAGTAATACACCTTAAAATAATATTCCCCAACATGTTTTCCCATAGAACCCAGGACTATCAGCCCAGGGAGGGAACCACCCACAGTGGGGTGGTCCAATCACTAATTAAGAAAATACCTTATAGATGGAGCTTATGGGGCATTTTCTCAATTGAAGGTCCCTTTTTCAGATAACTCTACCCTGTGTCAAGTTGAATCAAAACTAGCCACCACATAGACCATGCTAAACAAAGCTGATTTTAAAAATTGCTATTAACTGTCTTTTGGAAATGATTTTTAAAGGTGAAACATTTTTCTTTATTTATTTTACAGAGTACATAACTATTAACATAGATGCCAAGAGCCTGTATGTGTGTTGTTAAACAAGTAATAAGACAATAATTGGGCTTTGTTACAAGCTTGACACGAATATTATTACATTACAAATGCTGATTTTAAAAATGGTACCCAAAGATCTAGTGACATGATTTTATTATGCTGTCAGGTATACAGTCATGTTCTGCATGGCCTATAGCTGATTTTTGGAAAGAATATAGGGTTGTGAGAATATTACATGGTGAAACTATAGTATATAGTGTACAGGTTGGGGATCTTTCTGTTAATTTATGGTAGAACTGAATAGAACTTAGTGCTTCTTAAAGTACTTTTATTCTTTGAAATTTTCATAAATGTGTAAAATATATTCTGATCATACCCACTTCTCTCACTCTTCTCAGATGACTCCACCTAACAAGCCCCACCCAACTTCATGTCCTCTTTAAACTTTTAGTTTTAAATTTCAGTTATTTGTATATGTGTACATGTGTACTGTGGTGCATGAATGGAGGTGAGAGGACATATTTAGGAAATCACTTTTCTCCTTCCACCATCTTGGTTCTAGGGATTAAACTCAGGTCATCATGCTTGATAGCTTACCTGTGAAATCCTCCCTACTCCTTCAGTAACCCAGTGAGTCCAGTTAGTTTTGCCCATGTGCATGTGGGTGTGAGGCCATGAGCAAACTGTTCATTGTCATACCCCAGTGAATAATTACTCTCCCTTCATAGTATCCCTTTGTTGCTGGAGAGCTTCTCTCCGGGTTCCACCAAACCCCGCAGTCCCACAATCCACTTATAAAATAATCACTCAGACGCTTATATCACTTATAAACTGTATGGCCGTGGCAGGCTTCTTGCTAACTGTTCTTTTATCTTAAATTAACCCATTTTTATAAATCTATACCTTGCCACGTGGCTGGTGGCTTCCCAGCGTCTTCACATGCTGCTTGTCCTGGCGGTGGCTGCAGTGTCTCTCCCCTCAGCCTTCCGCTTCCCAGAATTCTCCTCTCTCCTTGTCCCACCTACTTCCTGCCTGGCAACCTATTTCTTGCCTGGTCACTGGCCATCAGTGTTTTATTTATATAGAATGATATCCACAGCATCCCTTAGTTGCCAGTATAATTCCTCAGCTAGAGATAAGGCCTCAGGACCGTCTTCTCTCACTGGGAGACTGGAATTTTGACTAGTTTGATATGGTTTAGCTATTCACAGCTGCTATGAGGTGCTTGTGTAAGGACCACATTATGTCTAAAAGACAACGTTTTATATCACTGCTCCATATTCTTGACTCTTAAATTTTTCCTGCCCCTTCTTTTGAACTATTCCTTGAGCCTTTGGGGGACAGGGAGTACAAGGTTGATAGAGGTGTCCTGCTAGTATTGAGCACACATGATCACTTATTCTCAGAACTTTGACCAGTTATAAATCTCATATTAAACACTTCTTACTACAGAAAGAAACTTTTCTGACCAAAGTTGAGATTAGCACAAGTTAATATGTATAAATATAAATACTGGGAAGGCTGTTTGACTATGTAACCATTTAGCAAAACAACAGTGGACCTTCACAACACACACACACACACACACACACACACACACACACACACACACACTCAAACACACACACACACACACACCCTGCACACTCCAGGGCCTATGGGGTGAAAGGACTGTTTAATTTGAGCTGCCTGGCAATCAAATGTAGTTTCAGTTTTCAAAATTGGCATATTGGATTGTGTACTTCCTTTTCCCCTGCTTAAAATACACTTTTAAAAATAGATGTTCTAGTCATATGAATCTTTCAGTTACAGAGTAAAAAGACCAAATTGCTGTCCAACACCTAGCTCTGTTCTTGAGCTGTGTCTGCCTGTTGCTATGTTAGTAGGTTTCTATGAAAGTTCTCTTCCTTAGCTCTCGACAGTGTTACCCATCTTTGTGAATAATAGCCTTGTTTCTTTCCCTACCCCTCAAACTCCCAGTCCTCCTGCTGATTTATATCATCAAAGTATTTATATAATGCATGATATTTTCGTCACTATTTTCTGAGTCCGTGCTAAAATATTTTATTCTAGAAATATGTTATTATATGCACACTCTGTAACAAAGCTGAATGGTATTTCCCACTGAAAAAATTACAAAGAACAAATTCTTGTAGATTCTCTTTTAATTCTTGCTAGTTTTCTTGTTTCTTCAACTTTTGTGTTTTCTCTTTCTCAGATTTCTTTTTCACTTGGTTAGAGCTGTAGTCCTCAAAATGAAACATCCACATTATAAGGGATATAAAGTATACTGTGAAGGAGTAAGGTTATAAAACAAATCATCTGTGTGATACAGAAAAAATGTAGGGTTGGTTGGGTTCAGAATACAATATTGAGTAATTGTTAGTAGAGGCGAGTGAACTGTTTAAGTGTTTGTAGTTTGAAACTGTTCTTTTTTTTTGATACTCAAATGTAAGTAAATTTGATTATGGAATTCCAAGCTCATTTTTTTCTCATAAAATCTTAAGAATACTTACTATTTGTGTTAGCAACATTTAGATTTCAGTGTGGCTTGGTCTTAGATAACAGGGTGAATTTTAGGATTTTCTTTACATTTTTAAAAAATAGAATCCTGAAGTTTTACTAGAAGTGTCTGTGTGTTGCTCTCCTCTCAGTAATCATTCTCGACATATAATGAGACCTGACTATTATAACCTTGTGCCTCCTTCATCTCATGACTATTATCTTTTTTAAAAATGTATACATCACTGTTATTCTTCTTTTAGTCTTGTTTATGAGTACTTGTTGCTAAATCTGGCTCCCAGTGGCTCATTATTTCCTCTATTTGGTCTTCAAAAATGATCTTTATCTTTTATTTTCCAATTATGAGTGAGTTGTAGCCTTTTTACTTATGTTGCAGATTGAATTAGTCTTTCTCTAATAATTCCCATTTATGAACACCTTTTCAAAACAGCTTATTCTTGTTTTATTCAAATTAACTTTATCAGAAGACTTTTACTTTTTCTCACATTTTTGAACAGTCTCCTTGTAGCCCTGGATGGCCTAGAACCCGCTGTGTAGACCAGGCCGACCTCAAACTCACGTAGATCCTCCTGTCTCTGTCTATTTTTCTAAGAAAATTTAAGTCTATCTTTCTGTTTCTTGAATTGATTATTTAAGTTACTTGTTTTTGTTTTTCTCTTATTTTGGTTTTTCTTTTGAATGTCATTTGTTCTTCCCAAATGAATGTTAGCCCTAGTGCTTCTGCTCATATTTTTTGTTTAAATATGTTTACTTTAATTTTTTTTAGATCATATGTATTATATCATTTCCTCTTTCTCTTTCTTTCCTTCCAGTCCTCCCATGTACTCTCCTTGTTCTCTTTCAAACTCAAGGCCCCTTTTCTTTAATTGTTGTTAGATACATGTGTTTATGTATATAATACATATATTCATACACACACACAGAAAACCTGCTCATTCCATATATACTACTTGTATATATTGTGTGTATATGTCTTTCAGGGCTGACCATTTGGTATTGAATAACCAATTGATGTATTCCTTAGGAAAGACTATTTCTCTTGTTCTCAGCATTCCTTGTTTGATCAGGACTGAGGCCTCAGGAACTCTCGCCCTTCCCTGTTAGCATGTCCATTGGTGTTGCCCTTGTTCAGGTCTTGTTTAGGCAGCCATGTTAGTGAGACTTCATGGGTATGGCTTTTTTGACATTTCTAAGAGACACAATCTCACAGCAAACTTCCTGTTTATTTGGCTCTTAAAATCTTAAAATAAAATAATCCCCAAGCTTTAGGTGCAGGAGTTGTGTTGTAGATGTTATCTTCTGGGATAACATCTGGCCTCCATAACTCTTCATTTTGATTGGTTGTAGTTTTCAGTAATACTAGTCTCTAGATATGTTTCAAAGAGAAGTTTCTTTGATGAGGGGTGAGAAGTACATTTATACTTCTACTATATATAAGTATAAGGATAAATACTTAGGGATTATGCTGGTTTAGTTAATTGCTAGCTGTAGTTTCTCTTTCATGATGTGCTTGTATTTTAAGGTATAGGGCAATTTTGCAAAGTAATGGTATCTGGCTGGTAT